CCTGGCTCACCATCTGCCCCCCCACCCGCCCGGGCCATCAGTTCTTGGGGGGCAGAGATTGCACTTTTCGCCTGTGTCTTCCCAGCACCGGCCCATGCCCGGCACATGGAGTGGGCACCGACTGCCGTTGGCGGCCTCTCCTTCCCCCACCTCCCATCTCTGCTTGATCACATCTTACTTCTGCAAGACTGACGGGACACGTCCACTGGGTCGCATTGTCCCTCTGACGTCACGTGACCGTACAGACACTCCCCGTCTCTTCTCTCAGTATAATAATGATCTTTCCTTCCTCTGAATCACTGGGTAATTTATCTCCACTTCTGTTACTTGCTACTTTTTCCCATAATGTCATGGTTTTCAGTCTGTATTCTCTATTTTACGCATCTCCAGGCTAAGAGCTATCCCTTGCCAATACGGGAGGAGGAGACCTAAAGGGATGCTACTATAAGGAAACTCTGGCATTATTTTGGTTTATGTCCTTCTAGTTTCTTTCTGTGTATGTAATAGTTGTGTCATCTTCCACAGCCCTGAGCCCAATGTACCTGTGGAGTCCACTTTGTATCCCTTTTTTCCCTGGCTCAGTATTTGATTGGAGAATGTGGTGTCTGAGCTGGCTTAGGCGGACTCCGTGGGCTTGTAAAGTTGCGGCTGCCCCCTGCAGCTTTAGAATAAGGAGGGTAGCGGTTCTAATGGTTTGAAACACAAAAACGACTTTCTTAAAAAAAAATCTATGGTGGCATCAGAACCAGGAGCAGAGTAGTTAGAAACCTACTTTTCCCTCATCGGAGTGGTTGGGGGCCTTTGAAAATGGGACTCCTGCGTTTGCTTCTCTTCACTGACCAGTGTCCCGCTCTTAGTTGCTGCAGGTGGGCCTAGTCAAACACTCTTCCGCAGGCAGTGGTCATGGAGTCCAGCAGAGTTGTGGGGCTTATTTTAGAGGGCATCTAACATTGTCAGAGAAGTTTTGGTTAGAAACAGAACCAAGTGAGCTCCCCAGCCAGGTCTGAACTTGATTAAGCTCATATTCTTTGTTGTAATTTACTCTAATACCCATTAAATCTGTAAAAGCAAGACTGAAGTACTGTTTATGTGAAAGTGTGTGTGTGTGTGTGTGTGTGTGTGTTTAGATAGCACGCTGTAAATGAATATAGTACTATGTAATTATTCTGATAGCCCTCTAGTCAGATTACCTTGAAAATCCAAAATGATCTTGCTGAACAGTAAGACATTATGATTTCATGGTTCATCTATATACCTCCTACATAGTTGTATAATACTTGTATCTAACAGGATTACCAAATTACATACCTTTTTGGTATCTGTAACATGCCTAAAATACCAGAGTATTCATTGGCCAGGTATGGTTATGAAACCACATTGACTTTGCCAGATGAGGATTTGTTCATGCATATAGATAGTGTTCAGGTTTCTCATACCATTTTGAGAGATATAAAATACTCTTTTTATTGTATTTAAGTCTTTATTCCAGTCATTAAATAAAAAAAAAGTGCCTCTTTTCTGGATAACACACTGTGCAACTTTTAATTAACCAAACGTCTGTGCAGGGATAATTGAGCAAATGGGATTATTTTGTGCCTTGACAAATTGCCAGCAGGCTAAACTGGTGAGCAGTGTGGCTGTGTGGTTGTTGGTACCTGCTCAGAGGAGTCCTGGAAGTAGGAGCGATGGCAAGAAGAAAGCAGACAGAGACACCTTTTCCCTCTCTACTGCTTCAGTAGTGCAGAGTATGGTGAGCCTGAGCCCTGAGTTTCATTCACAGCTTTAAGTAGCCTTTGTTTAAAAACTCCCAGATCTGTGTTTCCTATCTTAGCCTTTGTATTAGTTTGTTAGTCCTGCTATAACAAAGTATCCCCAACCTAGATGGCTTTAAAAATAAATGTATTTATTGTCTCACAGTTCTGGAGGGTAGGATCAAGGGTGTCAGCAAGGTTGGTTTCTTCTGAGGGTTGTGAGGGAGAATCTGTTCCATGCCTGTCCCCTAGCTTCTGGCGGTTTGCTGGAAATCTCTGGCATTCCTTGGTTTATAGAAGCATCTGATCTCTACCTTTATCTTCACATGGTGTTCTTCCTGTGTGCATATCTGTGTCCAAACTTCCCCTTTTTATGAGGACTCTAGTCATATTGGATTAGGTGCCCACCCTATTCCGGTCTGAGCTCATTTTTACTAATTACGTTTGCAACAACCCTAGTTCCAAGCAGAGGTCATATTCTGAAGTACTGAGGGTTAAGACTTCAACATGAATTTTTTGGGGAGGATGCAGTTCAACTGCTTTCAGCCCTTCTCCCAAGTTCCACACTGGTGCTTTTGGTTTCCAGCTGGACACCATAGTCAGTGTCCCACCAGAACCTCCAATGTAACACAGTCGGAATTGGTCTCACTGTCTCACAAGGCCTTTCTCTCTTTTTCTTTTTCTCTCACTCTGTGTTTGGTGGTCATATCATCATCCCATGCAGTTAGCCAGGTTGGATGTTTTGGGCCTTTTCCTGGCGCTCAGTCTCTGACATCCATCTCTACCAAGTTCTGTCATTCCTGCCTCAACTGTTTCTCTAACCTTTCCTCTCTTTTCAGTCCTGGTGCGGTAGCTCTGGCTTAGACCCCTGCTGTGCCTTGCTCTCTCACTATCTATCTCCCCATCTTGTCTTTCCTCTGTTAAATTCATCTTCCACACCAATTCCTTTTCTAAGACAAAGATCTGAACCTGATATTTATTAGCGCCCCCCCCCCCCCCCAAAGACCTTCAGTGACTTCTCACTGCTTGCAAAGAAGTCAAGATTTTGTAACTTGGCCTTTAAGGTCTTCCACAGGTGGCTGGTATTACAGCTCAAGCCACTCTTCACCCCTCACAACCTATTAGATACAGGGTGGGCAACACCTGCGTCCTTTCCTAAACACAGCACATCCCATATGTTGTCACCTCTGTGTTTCGCTCTGTTCTTTCCTCATTGTGGAAGGTCCTCTCTCTGCCCTTCACTCTTCTTGCCATCTTCCCATCCCAGCTGGAGTTTGGTCTCAGTCAAATGGAAACCAGGACACCTGGGTTTTAGGCCAGAATGCCAGAAGCCAGTTGCTTCCCCTTCACATAAGTCATTAACTTCTAGTTTTCTCAAAAGTAAAATGAGGAGGTTGAAGTAGATGATCTCAAAGATCTTCTCAACTTTAAAATTTCTTCTTTAAATGCCACACCTCCATGAAGCATTCCCCAGGTTTGTGGGCAGAACAAATCACTCTTCTTGTGCCCCCTTAACACTTTATGTCTTCTTTTACTTTTGACCCTCAACTCGTGCATTCTGGTGGGCATATATGCACGTGACTACCTCGCACTCCCCCAACAGGCTGTAAGCTCCTCGAGGCCCGCTAAGAATGTTTGACTCAGCTTTGCGTCTCTTCCCATCCTGGTCTTACTTGCACATAGACTGTCAGTGAGACACACTGAGTGGTAGAGAAGATGTTCTGGGCCAACATATTTCTGTAACATATGCTGTTCCTGCTCCCGAATGTTCCCATGCATTTGGAAGGATGTGTTTTGGATGGTGAATGACAGAAATTGTATATTGAACACACCATGGGATTTTCCTTTCTTTGTGATATTATTATGATCAGGTGACATTCTGGGAAACACTTAACTTTGTAACACTTTGTATAAAAATGTGTTCTCTCTATGAGCTGCTTAGACGTAATTAAGTGTTTTGAGAAACATAGGAAAACACTCCTGTTTTCTTCCTCCCTCTATATCCTCCAGAGACTTGGACTTCAGTGTATCATTGAAATATTTGGAAATTTAAAATACAGAATACCTCCTTGGAAGTCAAAGCATCTGTGGCCTGTTGTATTGTTCCTAACAACCAGATTTGATTATGTCATGACCTTGCTCAGAAACTTTTCAATCACTCCTTGCTTCCTAGGGAAGAAAAAGCAGTCCCTTTTTTTTTGTTTTCATGGCCATCTTTGGTCTTATACTTTTAATCTCATTTCACAGTGTTTTCTTTTATGTGCTCTGCTGCCCAGAAAAAATCAGTTCCTCACCATTTCCCTTGTACACGCCCTAGCTTTCTTGCACCTGCCTTTCTGCATGGATCCCCCTGACTAGAGTGCCGGCCTTTCTGTGCCCATTACTACATACCTGAATTTCACTCATTTTTCAAGAGCCAGCTCGCATTCCATTTCTGCTACAAAGCCGCCTTTGATTTCCTACCAGAATTCTGTTCTCATCATATTGCTCCCTGTCTTAAGATTGTATACTGTTTCTAGTTCTAGACTAGTGTTATCTGCCTTATCAGACTAGAACTTCTTTGGCATCACATTTCATGTCTGTTTGTATTCTACCACCCCTACCAATACTACCCCTAGTTGAGTCCACATGTGGTCGGTAGATCTCAGCAATGAATGAGTCTCTGTGAACCATTTTTTTTTTTTTTTTTTTAAGATTTTATTTATTTGCGAGAGAGACCATGAGAGACAGAGCATGAGAGGGAGGAGGGTCAGAGGGAGAAGCAGACTCCCTGCTGAGCAGGGAGCCCGATGTGGGACTCGATCCTGGAACTCCAGGATCATGACCTGAGCCGAAGGCAGTCGCTTAACCAACTGAGCCACCCAGGCGCCCCTCTGTGAACCATTTTTACATGGTGTATTAATGAATGACAAAGCTGCTCTATATTACTGCTGCCCTGTCACGTCCTAATTTAAAATACCTAATCTTTAATTCTAGAATCCAGCAATATGCCTGAAACAAAAATGCCATGTTGGCTAAAACAGTTACGTTTGAAATTGTAATTCGAACCTGTCATGTTCTTTAGATTCTGTACATTGCTGTTTCAGTCCACTGTATGTAAAAGGAAATGCTAAGTGTTTATAAATGTTTTTAGGTTTGAACGTAGTTTTTTGACAGCGATGTTTAATTTTTTCCCTAGTGTCTATTTGTGTATGCTTTTATTTTCTGCAAGCTACTGATTTTATGCTTTGTGCTTGTTTTATGTTGCAGATTAATATCCTTTCAAGAGTTCGTAGCATTTGAATCTGTCCTGTGTGCCCCAGATGCTTTGTTCATGGTGGCCTTTCAACTCTTTGACAAAACTGGCAAAGGAGAAGTTACTTTTGGTAAGGGGTGTGAGTATGTGTGCACCTAAGTAAGTGCAGACTTGTGTGAGCTTTTTTTGTGTGTGTGTGTGTCCCCAGAAATGAAGTGTATGGAGAAACTTTTTAAGAAGTTAAGCATATCCCTTTTAACAAAGATTGTTCTGTGTTTTGGGGCTCCAGTTCAAATATCTTTCTATTTGAAAAATAGATTTCTGGCCCCGTTTTGATACTCTGGTTTAGTTTTAAGGTGAGGGAGGTTGTGCATGACTTTTTCAGAGTCGTAGGTCATGTGAGCTAAGCAGGACTTCTGTTAATTTCCTTCACAATCAGGGGTGCTTCCCACAGGTAGGAGGAAGACGTTCATAAACTGCCTAAGAACAGAAGGTACCACCTGTGCCCCCGGCGTTTTCAGTCCTTACCTGGTCCCCACGGAGTAGCTTGAGTGCAAAGGCTTTGCACAGGATAGGAGTTCAGGGTGGCAGCAGCAGAACCTCGGTCTCCCAAGAGGACCCCCTTGGCTGGGTCGTTCTCTCTGCCGTGCTGCCACCTTCTTCATTGTGAAAAGCCAGAACCGGCCTCACAGGGATTAGCTGCAGAGTTGCAGAAAACCCACATGTCGTTTTAAGTACTAGGAGAAGGGAAGTAGCAGGCCAGGAGTAGGTTCTTTATTAAAAATAAGCTGCTTACTGACGTATAAAAAAAAAGTGTAAAAATAAACTTTTTTATACTGAAGATAGATTTGACGGAAAGTACCACCTTTTCCTTGGACTGTGTGGTATCCAGCGTGTGTTGTTCATGCGCGTGACCCTGCTGTAGATAGCACTGCCCGTGAGGAACTGTGGAGCCCTCCTGGGCTTGTGGATTGTTGATTCAGGGGAGACGGCTGAGGTGCCCATTGCAAATGTCTTTATTCATAGTTTCTAGTTCGTTTGGACTTCTTGGGTCTGTCTTACTTGATGGATGGTGAGCAATGTACAGATGGGAGGAGAATACAGATGATATGATAGAGCACCATCTATTCTGGAATAATTCTGGAACTGGAGAGAGACTTCGCTCCTTCTGGCTCTTGGCCTCTGTTGTGTCTGAACAAGTTAATCATCCTCTCAGGTCTTCATTTTCCTTATCAGAAATGAAGACAATAGCTACATAAAGTGTAGGTAAGGCAGTATAATGGACTTATTCTAGAAGCCTTCCCTTTTCTGCATCCATTCGTCCATGTTCCTCTGACATGGCAGTTATTTGAGGCTCGATCAGCTGAGGCAAAACATGGACATATGCCTGGTTTTGTTTCATACAGTCTAGAAGCTCAGATGCATTCCATGAGCACTCCAGTAGAACACTACGTGGATTATTTCATATTTAAACATCCCTAGAATAACTTTAGTTTTTTCCTTTCCCATCACCCGATTCATCTTAGTATCACTGTAACCACAGCTTTTCCTTGGAACACCAATAAAAAAATGTCCCCGTTGAAATTTTCGAGTGACAAACGAGCAGCCAGCTCATGGTGGTGTTAATTGACCCAGTGGAAGCCAGTTTGATGAATACGGTTCCTGGGGGTTTCCAGAGGAACGCCTGCGCGTCTGAGTGAGTTGGGCAGCCGCGTTCGCTCGCGCCTCCCCCTCCTGTAGCACGTGTGCAGGCGGGGGTGCAGGAGCCCCGGGGTGGAGATGGGGGGCGCTGGGAAGTGGCCTGCAGTGTTCTCCTTACGTCCAGCGTGAAGCGGTGACTGGCCCGGTGGAGGAAAGAAACAGGAGACTGTCCCCCATGCAGGGAGACGTGCTGTTCCTGGGAGCAGAAGGAAGCAGCAGGTGAAGAAGCAGGTGCAGGAGAGGGGGTCATCAGGTGCGGGAGGGGGGTCATCTGTGAAGTGCTGCAAGCGCAGTAGCAGGACCATTCTGTGTCTGCTTCTTACTAGTGCTTTGTTGATGGGCAAATCGGTTCAACCTTCTGAGCCTTCTTTTCTTCATCTGTACAGTCAGGGTAATAATAATCTACCTTGCAGGACTATGTGAGGATGAGAAGATACACTGCATATAAAGGTGCTGTCTGGAGAACAAAGGCCTCTATAAAAATATTACTGAAAGAAAAAACTTGAAAAAGCAAAGGAGGACTTTCTTCTTCTCTCCCCCCCCCGCCTTTTTTTTTTCTTGTGTTTTGGGAAGCCCTGCACTTCTCATTTGCAGTTTAACTGCTGGCCAGTTAGCCAGTAATTTGCTTACCATCTGTTTTGTGTTGAACATTATCCCATCTCTGAAGGCATAAGACATTCAAATAAGAAATCATGGTTTCCAAGGAGCTGAAATTCTTATGACAACATCAGTTGCATGTAACTTGTAGAAGAAATGTACACCTCCTCTCCCAGTACCCTGCCCTCCCAGTGTCACCAAGCAGAAACAGGGTATGTCCTATATCCATTTATGATGAGCTGATGGGGTCCTCACCCAGGGGTGAGGGAGTCAAACGATGTAGTCTGGGCTTTTCTGACCTATTCATCCCTATTTGGGATTAAACTAACAGGGATATGCATACTACAAAGAAGAATCCAAATGACCATCAAATTGCAAATTAATAGTTGACTTAACATTTTTCATAAGGTAGAGTCCCCCAGGAGAGGTGGCTGCTGTGTTTAGTTGGCTTTTACCCAGTAAACAAAATCATACAGGGGATGTGGCAGCCTAAGGAGTATTTCAACAGCAGGTATCTTTAGAAGAGGCTAGCACAAGTATGTTTTCCAGGAAACTTATAATGGGGTTGGAGAACTTTCTTAAAAAATGGAGTTGGGCAGAAAAGAGGACTTACTTAGTCAGTCTTAATCTCATAGGCCCGCAGAATTAAGAGCATCCTGATCTGTGACCCGGCGGCCTGTCCCTGTGAGGCTCTTGGAGATGTGCGCAGTGACAGTCTTACCTCTGGTTACATCCTTAGCTCCTTGTAAGCCCTTCACCCAAGAATGACCCTTGTGTATTTCAGAAGGTTGCCTGGGTGTGCATCTCTGGGAGGGGTAAACATGAAGAGGTAAGAGAGAAAGGCCTCCTCTTTTCCCTCCCAGATGGGCTCCGTCAGCTGTGGTCATGAGGAGAGCATTGTTTCTCGGAACAGAGGTTTATCTGGGGCCTTCCCATGGGCTGCAGGCAAGGCAGGAGAGTGGCCTCAGTTCCCCGGACCTCCTGGCCTTGCGTTCCGTCCAGAGGAGAGCCATTACCCTCTTGATCTGTAACATAGCGGATTTCCACCTGGGGGCTTGTTTGAAGCAGGGCCTGACGAAACCCAGGAAGCACTAGTGTTTGTCAACAAGCCGGCGGCACTCCCGCTCCCACTAACGCTGATTCTGGTACACACCACCCAAAAGTCGGGTGGCGTGAGGGGCAGATAATCAAGTGTCACATTTCAGGGAGGGCTGGCCCCGTTTGCTCTTAGGCCTTGTTTATGTTTGTCATGTTTTCATGTCTAGATTACTCCTGTGTTTGCTACAATGAAAAGATCTTGATTAGGCCAATTTTTGTTCCTTTGATACGAGTTCATTATTTTCACCTGTTTCCTCTGAGGACAAACGTATCTCCAATATTTTGTTCTCACCATGTTTTCTTGTTTTGATATCTGATATTTATAAGTGCATTTTGAGATGTCAGCAGGTGTGTAATAGGGTATCCGTATAAAGAAAATTCTAGTTAACAATTTGCAATTCTGTATGTGTGGAGAACAAATACTTTGTTTCTCTTTGCATTTTTAGCCTATTTTATATATGCTAGTGAATTTTTATTTTTAATTTTTTAAAGTATTCTTTATATAAACATAGCATACATACAGAAGAATGCACGAATCATAAGTGTACCTCTTGATGAACTTTTGCACAGTGTATGTACTTATCGCCATCCAGATCAGGAGGAGAATAGTGCCAGCGTCCATGGGCCCCTTTCCAGTTATCGTCCCCCAGGCCCAGTGCTAACAGCGGACATTTATCAACATTGACTGGCTTTGCTTGTTTTTAAACTAGATAAAAATGGAGAGGTACAGAACGTACCGTTTCACTCTGACTTTTGCTCACATTTTATCTGTGAGATTCAGCCATGTTTATGTTGTATCTATTTTTACCTTGTTCTTTTTCTTTGTTGTATACGATTCCATTGTATGACTTTATCCTGATTTGTTTATTCATCTTACCATTGGTAGGCATTTGCACACTTCCAGCTTTGGTAGCTACAAATAATGTGCTTTGAACATTGTTTTATCTATCTTTTGGGATGTGGGTGTGGGGCCATTTCTAGGAGTAGAACTGCTGGGTCGTAGAAAATGTGTGTGTTTGGCTTCAATAGATACTGCCAAACAGTTTTCCAGAGTGCTTGAACCACTGCATTCACACTGTCAGTGTGTAAGCGTTCTCGTTGTTCCATGCCTTTGCTAACCCTTGGTATTACCAGTCACATTTATTTCAGTGATACCTCATTATGTCGCTTTAATTTGCACTTTCCTGATTACTAATGGGTTGTGCAACCTTAAAAAAATATTTACTGGCCATTTGCATATCCTCTTTAGCGGTGTGCCGTTTTTCTAGATACAAGGTGTTCATGGGTTGTATATCTTCACTCCGTGACTTCCGCTTCCACTCACTTAATAGGGCCCTAAGGAACACAAGTTCTTAAACTTCATGTAGTACAAATTATCAGCATTTTCTTTTACAGATAGTTCTTTCTGTGTCCCATTTAAGAAATCTTTGCTTACCGAAAGGTCGCAAAGACAGTCTCCTCTGCTATCTTTCAGAAGTTTTTTTGTTTTCCTTTCAAATTTAGACTTTCAATCTTTCTAGAACATGGTTGGATTTTTTGTTTACTTTTGCATGTTGTGAGGGTCAAGGTTCTCCAGACCCCGTGGATATCTACTTTCCCAGCACTATTACTGAAAGGATTGCTCTTTGTTTTATTGCTCTGTGCTGATAACAGTGATCTTAAATCACTGTGGGTCTGTTTCTGAATTCTGTCCTTCTATAATTATGTCTGCACCATCGCTATACTCTCTTTAAT